TAGAGAGAGATAGAGAGAGAATGTATATGTGTGTGTGTGTGTGTGTGTGTGTATATATATATATATGTATATGTATATGTATATTATTTGTTATTTTTAGGTATACATGACAGTAGAGGGTACTTTGATATATTATACTTACATGGAACATAACATTTTAATTAGGATCCCATTCTTGCTTTTGTACATGATGAGGAGTTTCACTGGCTCTTTATTTATATATGCACATAGGAAGGTTCTGTTGAGGAACTATATTTTCCAACTTTTATTGATATTGTTGCGTTCAGAGTCTGTTTAAAAAAAAAACAACATTGCTTGATCACAGGATTTGTGACAGTTAACCACATGGATACACATTATTATACAATGAAATTTTTAACATAACTGCTGCTTATAGCATAGAATTTAAACTTAAAGTAATCACCAATTCTTGTTGATCTACTACAGAAATMAACCTGTACTGATGAAATAATATTTTATARTCATCTGAATAATCTTTCTTTCCCTATGCTTTAATGTGCTCATAATAATTTGGCAAAGGCTACTGTCTGATTCATACACCAAAAAATATATGTCTTATTTTCAAAAGGTCTTCACTTGCCTATAACGAATTGAGAAAGTTCGATTTTATTTAAATATTAAATATAGTCTCTTGGTGAGAAAAACAAAGGCATCGACATTTTAAAACCAGAGTGCGAAGCATGATAGTGCGAGTCTGTAATCTCAGCAGCTTGGGAAGCTGATTCAGGAGAATCACAAGTTCAAAGCCAGCCTCAGTAAAAAGCCAGGAACTAAGCAATTCAGTGAGACCCTGTCTTTAAATAAAATACAAAATAGGGCTGGGGATGTGGCTCAGTGTTGAGTGCCCTGAGTTCAATCCCTGATAACCACCACCCCCACAAATAAAAAAGACTAACTAGAATCACAATTTAAATAAAGTAAATTTGACAATAAGAAAATTACAAGAATATATTTCATTATCTCTCATGGTCTTGATGGCACAAACTTGAAGGCTTTCAAGCCCAACTCCAGCACTAACTACCTGGACAGCTTTATGTAAGGTATCTATGTAATAATCTTTCTGTGAGTCAGTTTTCATTTCTGTTAACAACAACAACAACCAAAAAATGGTATAATACCTATAAGAATCAAATAAAGTAACATTAAAAAAAATAAAAAGTGCTTACTCATATTCATCCAGCCTGAGGAGGACAGAAGTTGTAAGAGTCATCTTTAAGGCTTGGCTTTTCCAGTTGAATTGTGCAAATGACCAGTGGTTTACCTTTTTTACATAGATCTTAAGCTCTCAACTTAATTCCAGAAACTAACTCATGATAGCAAAATATTCCAGAAAAGAATCACACATGTCTTGTACAGTTGCAGAGAAAAGAATAAATTACTTTTTGATATTCTCTGTTCTATTGAACTGTGGTCTTCAGAGCCTTCAGCTAAAGGCACATTATTGATTCAATGCAGAGTGTATTTTTAAATGTACTCATATTTAGAAGAAAAAGTTTTGCATTCTCTTTTTCCAACAGAATTTAATCTTTATTCTAAAATATGGAACATAAAACTAAAATATTAAGTCAGAGTGTAATGGTGCATGGTACACCTTCTAAGGAAAACTTTGCTGTTCCAAAAGAATTGTGTAGGACAGTGCAATTTTAAACAGGTCTCTCTCATTTCTTTTTTTTTTTTTTCCAACTGACTTCAATAGCTCAGGAAAGAAACAGTTGGAATCTGAACAATTTTCCATTACTGAGGAAGTTATAAGCCAAGAATATAAATTGATAAAAGAAAGACATTCCCAATTTATTCTATCATTTTAAATTGAGCAACKAATAGTAACAGCAAGAGTTACAGTATAAATCTGATCATTTTTTGAGTATAAATAGCGGTTTTCTTTGTTATATGTATTATATGTTATCATTGTGCTTAGTCTTATGGGTTTGGGTTTTTTGTTTGTTTTTTGTTTTGTTTATTTTTAGATTGGTGCTGGGAATGAAACCATGGCCTCAAGCATGCTAGGCAAGGGCTTTCCCACTGAGCTACACCTCAGCCATGTTATTGTTTTTATTAAAAGAACCAACTGACTGAATTTGACATATCTACTTTACATGTATAACTTGCCTATTCCTAAAAAAGCTTTCAATGGTTTATAATAAAATCAAAGAGTAAAATCAGAAACTGTTAGTTCAAATTAAAAAGAACTTTGGTTTCATTTACATCTTATCACATTTTGATCCTTTTCTGTTATAAATAGATGCTTAGCTACTTTGTTTACTTTTGKTTTTATATTTGTTTTAAAGTCATCTGTTCAGTGCTTTGAATRACCTGTAATGCATTAGTCAGATGGTCTGTGTTCAGATCCCAGCTGGTATACTTATTATTATCAAAGACAAATAAACCTGACCCTAGTGAAAGTGGTAAGAATGGATTTTTATTCAGTAGTGACAGTTGAAATAGGGAGGAATATCCATTGTGTACTTAACTTTGCCACAACAGAAGGAAAGAGACCTTTTAAAGATTAGGTTTTGCTGAGGGAAACRTGCTGGGAGTGTGAAAGGGGCTGGCATATGTGACTTTGAATTTGTTAATTGCCTCTTATTCGGAGGAGAAACAAACTTTACAACAGGAAGTAGTAGTGTAGGTTAGAGCAAGGGATAGGGAGCTGAGCATTTATCTCCTTGAATACTTGAGGAAGGTTTTGGGTAATAGAAGCTTTATATCTCAGAGTGACAGAGAAAGGACTTATAGTTGCATGCCTTCTAAAATAGCTGCTTTAATAGGGGGCTAAGGAGCCTATG